CTTTTTTAAAAGCCGGAAAAAAGCGGCGGACATTTTTATTTAAATGCCGCGGGGGATATTTAAATCCCCCGCGGATTTCCCTACGACGACTGATGAAATTTACATGCCCCTTCCGGAAAAGGGGCCAGTGTAGACGTAGCCTGTTTGTTTAAAGGGCTAGTTAAGGGCATGCTGTAGGGGATGGTGAGTGCTCCCAGCTGGAATAGTGAGAGGACTGGCGGCCATAGATGCTTCTGTCTGGCTGCTGCAGCCCGGCTTTAGCCCTCATCTGACTGCTGCAATCTGTCCCCAGCCACTGTGCTTCTGGGGCAGACCCCATGGCCCAGCTCCGGTGATCCCGTGACTTCTGTAACAGTCCTGACCAACAAGGCCCCAATCTGGGTTCAGCTGTCATCTGGCTGCAGTGTCCTGTCCCCAGCCCCGACCCTGAGACAAGCCCCGCAGTCTGGCCCCCATCTGGCTACAGGAAGGCCTGGCAGCGGCCCCCCTCCTGTTGTGGCACGGATAGGAGGAGAGGCCACTATGTGGTGATACTGGCTCTGCCCATCGTCCAGCCCTGCGTCCCCAGGTGCAGCAGCCCAGCCCTGGCCAGATAAGGTAATCCAGCCCCAGGACTCCCTAACATATTCTACTTCCCACCCCCAGCACCTTGCCCTGCCTCCTGCACCTCCCACACACACCCTCTGCCCTGAGTCCTTCATACAGCCCAACCCTGACTCCTGCACCTGCACAGCTGCAAACTGCACCGCAAGCAGCAGCTTAAGTCCCATTAAATAAAGTCTGGGAGTACAGTGTTTCATTTATGCTATTATTAATCAGCATGTCAATTATCAACAATATTAAGTTGTATATTTTGTAGTCATGCAAATGAACATTCTTATACCTACCCCGTTCTAGTTGGTGCTTAGTTCTGCCAGAAGGGCAGGGGACTGGAGCTGATGACCTCCTAAATCCCTTCCCCTCCTACGATTCTATGTTATGCTGATGGTTCTGGCCAATCTGGCTGTGGCCCAAGTAGGGGCTGGCCTGTCTGTGAATGAACAGGCGGTGGGTGGCGCTAGGACCCACCAAGACTCCATCCACATCGGCTGCTCTGACGTTGGTCGGAAACCAGTCGCTGCTGCTGAGTAACTCGAGCCCCCAGCCCAGACCTCACCAGCGGTCGGGTCGGTCTGGGACCCAGCGCAAACTCGAACGAGGTAGGTGGGTCCCGCGGGCAGGCGCAGCTTGCGGGATGCGCACCGGGGGCTGCTCCCCCGCAGGGATGGGGCGCGGGAGGAGGCAGGTGACATCCGCCGCTCCCGCGCCAGAGCCGGGCAAAGAGCCGGGCCGAAGCGGAGAAGACCCCAAAGCGCCCGGGTGTCGCTGGGGCGTGCCCCGCGCATCTTTTCCCCTCGGCGGGTCCCTGCGCGGAGCTGAACTGGGCAGGCGGGCACCTTTGTGCAGCCGGCGGAGCCGCTCCTGTGTCCTTTGTGCAGCTTCTCTGCCTCGGTGCTTCGCGGGGTCCAAGCCTGG